GGTTGACACGTTTGTGGTTGCTTAAACGAGGTGTGCATTTTCTGATGCGTGCTGTGTGTTGACCGTGGACGTGAGGATGCTGGATGTCAGTGTGGCACAAGGAGGATCATACACAAACGCTCACAAAGAGGTGCTGAGACGAAATCAGTAAAGCACATACATACAGGTGATTTGGATGCACTAACTGGAAGACAGAGGGCTGCAACAGCGAAGTCACGTGACCAAGGACCGAATGGGTTTGGTTTGGGGAATAAGGAGGCTGAAGGGACAGAGGGAGGGAGGGAGGGAGGGAGGGAGCAAGGAGAAGGCGTGGGTGGATGGGGTAGAGCGAATGTAGTGGTCAAAAGCAGGTCTAATGTGTGAAAACGACCATGTTCAGCAAAAAACCGTGAAAGTTTAGTCCACACAGAACGATTAATTGGTCAGTTTGGTTCGATCAAACGCAACATTTGCGCGGGATTGGGAGATCCAAGGGAGTAAAGTGATCCCCGTTTTCTGAACCAATTTCTCTGTATGGAAAAAATCGATAAGCAGGAAAATTTCGAGAATAGTTGCCGCTCTGTAGATTACTGTGTGGTAAGGAGAAAGAAAGAGATTTTGAAAGCCGCATCAGATCGATGGGCTGAACATACTACGTTAAACCAGGGAAATTATGAGTGTCCCATTTCGTCGAATTGAATGTGCAAATCATCCGGAAGCGTTGTTCGCATGCAACAATTCTCCCTAATTGTACACCATGCACACACACAACGGCATCAACACATAATTGTTAGTTGTGTGATGTTTCTCATTCGATTCTGTGTGCAAATTATATCACCTCGTTGAAATTTAGAGTAGATGAAAACAAAAATCCACCCAGTCGGAAGAATGATCTAAATCGCTACAAAAGCACTATCGCAACAGCAACAACAAAAACAACAACAGCGACAACACATGCTAAACAGTGATACAACCCTGGAATCCGTTTAAAAATACTTGCAGAGCTTTGAAAATCAGCCGAATTATTGGAACGATATCTATTATTCTATTTAACTACCATTTCATGCAGACACTTAATGAATATTTATCTGCTGACGGATTATTTTACCTCTCAAACTGGGTTCTTTTTATCTAATTGATTAGAGCGGAAAGAAAACACGAATTGTAAGATGCAGGTAATTCATTTACAGTTATCTGTTCTCATGATGAACACGGCCGTTTCATGTAGTATAATCTCTCTCCTGTGTGTGTGAAGCTGCATCGCGTGTTCAAAAACAACACAGGTGAGTGGGGGTGGGGTGGGATGAAGGTGCGATCTAAAAGTCATTTGGAACAATCTCCTAGGCAAACAGATGTTCGGGTTCAACTATGGTTCCTTTCCGAGAAAGGTGATAAAGGGCTCACTGAGCGCCAAAAGTTAGAGAACTGGAACTGATGTGAACGACCAGATCAGGTCAACTGTGTGAATTGTCGTTAGGATATATTCGGCAATCGACGCAGCCAGGTTTCTTGACTTTGCCTGGGTTTTTAACTTGTTGGCTGCTTCCGTACGGGCTCCGATACTTGCAGGATGAAAAATCAGTCCTTTCGAGTAGTTTTTGTGCGTGAATCACCGTAGTTGCAGGTGTACCGGCTAACGAACTGCAAAGCCTTATGATCAGCTGGATCGATTGAATGAATTGTCTAACCCATACCTTTGGCCTTCGACTTGAACATGGCTAATCCGCCGGATATGTTCAATTGGGGACCAGTTTTGCTTTGGTTTAATACTTCGGACAGATCGTTGCCTTTGTTCGGCCAGATAATCAAAAATATTCTCCACAGAAGTGATCTTTTGATTTTTTCACTGATTTACAACGATTTATTTCGGAGGGGTATACCCTTGTCCAGACATTTGTTTTTCAAACTTCTTTCATCCTATTGCAGCCATTTGAGATGCCGACTTGTGCCCTGTAAACGCAGATTTTGATGAATTCCCGGGTGCAGACCACTGCGGTAAAACTTGAAAGCTATGTGCAACATCAAGTTCACGTTGCCTCCAAGTCAATTCCTCACAGCAGATTTGCACCCGGGATCCGGGATACTATATAGTGTATCTAAAAACAGTGAACTCCCTTGACATTTGACCTTATGAAAGATCGGAAATTTCAAGTTGGAAGAAGGTAAAATATAAACGAAATGAGTGGAGGAGTCTATAATTACAAACAGCTACGTATCATGAAAACAACGCTTCAGTTGACGTCTAACGCAGTGCACATTACTTATATGCTTTATCTAGGGACTATCAAACCTAATTTTAGTCTATGCATCTTGCAAATCCGTTTTTCTCTTTTCCTCCTATACCACGAACTGCAATGCGCGTGATTATGAAAATTTATAGTGATTGTTATGACTATGTTACTGTGGCCTGATTGCAGGTGAACAACGAAGGTTTACTCCGCAAGCAGTCCATAAAGTAGACATTTTATAATGAGCGAAACCCAAACGGGTAGTGCTATTGAAATCAACCGCACAACAAGAAAAAAACATGCCCGCTCGAACTGTAAGTAAACTGGACAAACTTAGATGTGAAGTAGTGCGTACAAGGTGGACTGCATGCACCGGAATAATCCAGTTGTTTTCTTTGGGTTTTTGCATAAAACATTTTGCAGACTTTGAGCCTGCTAAGTTTTTACTGTAATTTTTTCACCTACCTATTTATTTGAATTTGGAAACTCCAGAGCTGGATGCGAGTTATTCCACTTGTATTTTGATGAGGAAAAATAGATTTTTGACCACGGTGTGATTCAAACTGTTGGGCGGCAAATCAATAAAACCAAATTAAGAGTGCTCTCTATGATCTAACGGGTCAAACTGCAAATACACACTATGGATTGGACTTTTGGGGCCAAAATAAAACAAATCCCAAGTGAGTCATGCTATGCTTCAGTAGTCTGTGAAATAATTGATTTGCTTGAATGAGTTTTATAGACATGAGGTTTCTGAGCTAAAGGTCGACCTCAGTAGTCGTAAACAGTTGAAATTTTTGATTTTATGTCTGAAAATGTGAAAAACAGTTAATCTCCCCTGATAAAAGGCCCTTGGAGCATGGACGTAATAATAGGTATCATGGGCTTACATCAATTCAACTGCGGATCGAGCCCGAGATCTCATTAGTAGCATATAAGAATAATTCCAAATCGATCACTGGGCAGCTGATTGGACCGCTTTTATTTTCCCTATCCACAATATATT